CCCAGGCATCCTCGGTGTCTTCATTGTCAGACGGAACATACTCCGAATCGCTATCTGTGTCTGGATTGTCAATGTTCTCCTCTAAATGGACCACCCGGGCCAATCTACTGCGTCGTGTGGATGTACCCACATTTTCTCTATCCGTGGAAATGTGTTGCGTAGAAGGGCCGACAACATTACTTTCCGTAGTATCTGTAATGTAGACTTCAAGTAATCCCAAGGGAATTGCTTTGTTCAAGAACAATTCCCATGTTGCATTACTATCGATGCCCATTACCCTACTAGAGTATACACCCCCAAAAAAATATGGAATTTTCCCGGAAACTTTAGCAATGGAGCCATACCCAGCATTACTAAAATGAGTTTGTATTTCGTCTTTAATAATTAAGAAGATAAAAAATCTTAATAAGTTCGTAAAAAATATATTCATGTAAACACTATTTTAAAAATTATATTCATTAAAACACATAATTTAGAACAAAAATTTTTCCTACATTTTTATAAAAATTCAAAATATTATGGAGCACATAGTTGATAATATATAAACATAATCTATAATCAAATAAAAATGAAAACTAATAAAAACTTAACATTTATAATCAATATTATAAATATTTTAAAGTTAACTGAAATATAAGTAATAAAAAAAATACCTGAGAAATGTTGAATGTAATGGAGTAGTGTGAGGATAAGTTAAATTTGAAGAGTGATTAAAGTAGTGGGTGAAGGAGTGGTTTAAATAAAGAAAAATGTGAGTGAATTAAGAAGATGAAGGGGTGAGTGAAGTTAAATGGTTGGGATGGGAGTGGTTGTAATGTGTGGTGGAGTGGAAAAGGTGGGGTGGAAAATTAGTGGAAAAGGGGGTTTTTAATGAGTGGTGCCGTGTGGAGAGAAAAAAGGTGGGAGTGGACTGGATTTACGGAGGTAGCACATGCAAACTGAAAAAAAAAACAGGTTTCTCGCATGTAGTACACGCGGTTTTACTGCAAATTTTAATGACAAATCGTCAGTTCTGAATTTTTTTTTTAAATATTTTTTGGGTTTCGCATGTAGTATGTGCAATGTTCCTTTTAGGAAATATATTTTCCTTTTTTTAATATTTAATGTTCCACTTTAGGAAATATATTTTCCTTTTTTCCGTCTGAGGGAAACCACCCTTATTCTAATTGGATCTGTTGCAGGTTCTGTAGAAGAATAACATGGGAAGACATTTTTAGAAAAGGAAGATGGCTAACCCTCGAAGGACGTTTTTTCCCGTATCCGGCAACCACCACCAACTGCCGATATCCTCCGCCGCCGCCGCTCAACCTCCGGCGTCGCCTGTGAACTCATTGTTGTCGTTCCTGAAGAAGCCGCACGCTTTCCCCTTCCTTCTCTCTTTCTTCCTTCTCCTGACGTGGGTCTCCCTTCGGTTCCAACACCCCTCGCATCATTTTCCGCCGGGGGGAGTAGGATCCGGATCCAAGGCCCGCCTTCACGGCTCCTCCTCCGACGATGACCGTTTCGCTAATCTCGTACGGTTCTCTTCATCTTCTCCAATTGTTGCCAAGGACAAGCGCGGATGGCTTCTGGATCCCGTTTCGGTAGCCATGGATTCTTCTATGTCAGGTCTCCCCTTTCATTTTCTAGTTTTTGTCTTTATTTGTTTTGGGTGTTGGTAATTTTAGTTTCATGGCTATTTTGTGTGATTGAGTTTACTTAGACCAGACAAGAAGACAAGAATTTGAATAGACGTTGTCTAACGAGTTAGGAGGTGTGGAGTGCGCACTAGTTCAATGATATTACAAATTCATAGCAGGGTCCAGTGTGCCCCGGTAGCGGGGTCCAAGGGGTTGTGCCCCTGGCCAGGTTCAAGCTTTATTTTGGACACTATTGCTTTCTGAGAATCTTTCAGATTTCGTGAACGGAGTCCAAAACTTAATGATTCAAAGCATGGATAAATCATCAAAATAACTTTGAAATATGAATTCTAACGTCTTGATATCCGATTAAAGTATTTTAGTTGAGATATGAATTCTAAGTGAAAGTTCTTGATTAACGTCTTATTCAATTAAAGTATTTTGGTCTACCCAAAAATAACTTTGATATGAAACCATTTACGCGATTCGTTAAAGTATCAAGTAATTCATTTGTTCCTTCGTTTCATCTTTCTGTCAAAGTTGCTTCGCAACGTTCATCCTCCAAACAATTTTCTAACACTGTGCAGCTTGGTATGCTTTGATTTGCAAAAACAATGAATTTCTCCCAATTAAGCCCCGTGAATTGAATTGAAATGAAATTACCTTAGCATTGTAGTATGTTTGGTTCAAGGAATTTGAAAAGGAAAAGAAAATACTATGAGATGGAAAAGAAAATTGCTCCCATTTTGGTGAGGAAAATGAGCTAAAATAATTTTCTTTTCTTTTCTTTATCTTCATAATTTCTTGAACCAAACATAGTGTTTGGGTTTCCTTTCAAATGGAAATTCTATTACATAGCAGTGATTTGTTACTTCCGGTCTTCTGTGGCACGATCAACTTAGGGTTTAGTTATTTTGTTCTGTTGTGACACTGTTTGTGTGCATTTTTGGGAAAGTGATTTGATTTCAAGTGAAACTCGCATTGTGTGGAATCTAACTTGCTTGGAAATGGAAATGTTGGTGAAAACAGGTGGAGCAATGAGTTGTGCATCCATTCATGTGGGTGAGATCAAACCCGGTGGTGTAAGGGGGAACCATAGGCATCATACATGCAACGAGACCTTCGTCATCTGGGGAGCTCAAACACTCTTCCGGGTAATAATGCAAAGAGTTAATACATTCCTGTCAAATGATCTTAATTGCCGGTGAGATGTGTGGAGACAATTTCTATTTACGAAATTTGATGGGAAACATGGTGCTATAAAGGAATGCAGCTCATGAAAATTATGTTATGCTTGTGATAACTGATCTTGATCTTATTGTGTGCTTGCTTTCATC